TTTCAAAGATGCTGAGTACCCAGTAGCTTCCATTGACTTCAATGAAAAAGTTTCTGGGAGCTAATTGAGCACTTTTGAAAATCAGATCTTATAGTTCAGAATTTAGAAGCCCAAATTTAGATCTCCATATGTTCAAAATGTTGGCCATTATGCCTGCAGAGGCCAGAAGTGGGCCTATTACCTCCAGAGGCAGTGGAGACGCATGCTGCGACACTCGTAGTGCAGGGGTATTCTGGGTTTGTCCCATCACACTCCACAATCCTCTATGGCTATTTGCATATTGTGTAAGTGTTACATGATGCTTCCCCCCCCCGCAGTATGTAATGAAGGCCTTTAGCATTGAAGACTTCCATATCTATTTTTCCTAGGCTGTGTGTCTAGCACCAAAAATACATACAGTTATTGAAGTTATTTTTTATATTTATATATCCATAGGAAACACGAACCATTTGAAATAATAAGCCATATATTTAGTAACAGGCCGAGGACAACTTACAATAATGGTCAACTTGTGGCAACATGTTGTCTACTAGTCTGGGCCTAAGGAACATGCAAGTAAATTGCTGTGTTGTGTTTTGTTTTGTTTGTTTCCCCAGAGAAGAAAAACAGTATGAGTGAAATCCCTTGACTCTGAGCAAAACTCCCATTGACTTCAGTGGAGCTAGGATTACACCCGATGTCATTAATAAATAGTATATATTTGGTCATTTCCATATTTTCTTTAAAGAAAAACATTTCTTGGCTTTCCCATGCAAGAGTAGTTAGGACGATTTCTATTGAACTTAGGGTTTTCTATAGTGCCCATCACTGAAGTGTCTAAGCCTTGATTTACCACAGTACTTTGTGTTTGTTATTTTAATGTGAACATTTAAAATGTCCTTCATGGATCTGAAAATGCAGGGTTGTTGCCCCATTCTAATGCACCTTAAAACAACATTCAGAAATGTTGGGTGCTGGATCAATGGTTGGTATCAACACAGGTACTATGCAAAAAATCTGTCTCTGATCTCTGGGCTAGCCCAGGTGCTTTGTGATTGGTATTTCTCGCTTACATCTACGTGGTTCCCTTCTCTAGATGTGGTCCAGAAAGGGGGGTGGGTGGAAATATCCACTGAAAATTTGGTAAACTGAAAAGGATTTTCTATTGTGTTCTATTGTCCAGTTCTGGGCACCGCATTTCAAGAAAGATGTGGAGAAATTGGAAAGGGTCCAGAGAAGAGCAACAAGAATGATTAAAGGTCTTGAGAACATGACCTATGAAGCAAGGCTGAAAGAATTGGGTTTGTTTAGTTTGGAAAAGAGAAGACTGAGAGGGGACATGATAGCAGTTTTCAGGTATCTAAAAGGGTGTCATAAGGAGGAGGGAGAAAACTTGTTCACCTTAGCCTCTGAGGATAGAACAAGAAGCAATGGGCTTAAACTGCAGCAAGGGAGGTCTAGGTTGGACATTAGGAAAAAGTTCCTAACTGTCAGGGTGGTTAAACACTGGAATAAATTGCCTAGGGAGGTTGTGGAATCTCCATCTCTGGAGATATTTAAGAGTAGGTTAGATAAATGTCTATCAGGGATGGTCTAGACAGTATTTGGTCCTGCCATGCGGGCAGGGGACTGGACTCGATGACCTCTCGAGGTCCCTTCCAGTCCTAGAATCTATGAATCTATGAATCTATGAATCTATATCTTGTAACAATCTGGTTTTTGTTTTCCATTGAAATAAATCTGTGGAAAACTTGATTTTCTTATATATAAAACAAAGGAAACAGAAACCAAAAAGTCTTTCATAGAACAACCAAGAGGTTGGTGGGTCTCCCCCCCCTCCAGTTTATTGTTTTCATCTGCCTGGAAGATGGCTTGCTTTGAGGATGAGTAGAGGAGTGTTTTATCAGAGACGGGTCAAAATAAATGAATCTTCAGGGTTATTAAGCAGCAAGGAGGACTCTGGGGGATGGAAACAGAAATTTTCATGTTAATTCTGTCCTTATATTTTGTTATATCTATTAGTTATAAATAGCTTGCCATGTTCTGTTTCTACCACCCTTCCAGCCTACCTATGGTAGTTACTGAAAAGCAAAAGCATGTATGGCAGAGATTGTGGTCAAGCTGGTGCTTCAGATACACATAGGACTCTGGCTCATACTTGGGTTCTGGGCAGGTTTCCAGGGTCAGAAGATTGCCAGTGGAGGCAGCTGTGCCAGGAGGAAGGAGGTTTCTGGTCACTGTAAAGTATGGCCACTTTGGAACTCAAGACTGCAGTAAATCTGACTGGATTTGCTGGCCCTCGCTGGTGGGTCTCAGCTCTTCTGGCAGGCCATGTACCAATGTGGAGAGGCAGTGCTTGTTGGGTGCCAAGCCTTGGTGGGGAAGGAATAACACATTGCTGGTAACATGGGAGAAGAGGGCCAGTAGCTGAGATAAGGGGGGCAGGGAGGCTGTAAGTTGTCTAGGGAGTAGGGGATCTTGGAGAATCAGGTGGTTGGAAGACATCTTGTTTGGGGGAAGGAGAAGACCCTCCTGAAGCAGGGCTGTGAGATGAGAGGTGGGAGAGTTCAGCTTAACATCTTAGAACTCTCCAGGCACATATATGAAGCCTGATGCTTCTTAGGACCTCTCGAAAGCATGATTTCCTACTCTGTAGCTCTGCAGAGACGTCACCTGCTGCTGCAGGCTAGCAATAACCAATATGCTGAGTGGGCTTCCTAGAGGCTGCCCTTGCTTTCAGTAATTTGAGAAAAAGAACTCTGTCTCCGCTAATGAAACAATTGTTGGGGGCATGATGCAGAGGCCATTAAATCAAAAGAGTTTAAGCATGAGAGCTGTTCCGGTGTCCTCTTGGTGGATTATATGTGACCAGGCTTCCTATATTTTATGAACGTGTTTGTTATTCAAAATTATTCAGTGAATGCTTATGCAAAAATATTTTCTGCCTTGGGGACTGCTCATAAACTATTCCCTGCAACTGTAGTTTCAAGTATTGATTATTCTTAACCCACTATTCACCTTGTATAAGCGTTATATAAGTCACATGGTATCATTTCTGCTCTCTAAACTGGTGACTCCCAAATAGGGTAACCAGACATCCCGATATTAAAGGCTTTGCCTTATACAGTAACTCCCCACTTAAAGTCCTCTCACTTAACGTTGTTTCAATCTTATGTCCCTGCTGCATTACAGAACATGCTAGTTTAAAGTCATGCAATGCTTCGCTATAACGTCGTTTGGCTGCCTGCTTTGTCCACAGCTGGCAGGCCCCTATCAGCTCCCCTACGCCCCCCCCAGCGTCTCCCGCCCGCCGGTGGACCCCACGGATCAGTGCCTTCCCCCTGCTCCCCCCACCTCCTGCCCACAGCAATCAGCTGGTTTGCGGCATTCAGGAGGCAGGGGAGGGAGGGGGAGCCTGCGTGCCAAGTCCTCGCTCCTCCCCCTCCTTCCTGCCTCCTGAACGCCGCAAACCAGCTGATTGCCACAGTCAGGAGGCAGGGGAGGGAGGCGGGAGGAGTGAGGACGCGGTGTGCGGAGTAAAGGGGGAGGAGGTGGGGGGAGAGAAGAGGCAGGTTAAGGGTGGGAACTTGGGGGAAGGGGTGCAGTGAGTGGGCCTAGGGTTGAGTCCCCGGCCCTGGATGCTTGCACAGTAGGGGAAGTTTCCGCTGCTGCTGCGCAACGTGCTTCTCCTAACTTATAGCACCTTCAGCCCCCTTGCCTGCCTCATTGTCTGCAGTGCCAGTGGGCTGTGCCTGTGTGGGGTAAGACGGGGGCACCTCCATTGCTTCATACTCAGCAATGATGTTCCCATTGCTTCATACTCAGCAATGATGATTGTAATATTAAATGGTTTCTTTAAAATTGTTTCAAACTTATACCTGTGTTAAATTGCTTGTTTAAAATGTATATAATGCCTTTTGTCTGGCAAAAAAAAAAAAAAATCCCTGGAACCTAACCCCTCTGCTTTCCCCCATTTACATTAATTCTTATGGGGAAATTGGATTCGCTTAACATCATTTCGCTTAAAGTCACATTTTTCAGGAACAGAACTACAACGTTAAGTGAGGCATTACTGTATAAGCAACTAGAAAATCAAAGTGTCCCAGTTTTCCACACTTGCTCTCTGGTCACTCTACTCCCAAACCCAAAAGAGCTTTCAAGAAAGCTGCATATGATCATTTCCAAAGTGAATACCCGCTCCTGCAAACATATCTGAGTACAAGTATTTGCAAACATATATCTGAGTACAAGTATTTGCAATACTTTCTCTTTCTGAACTTTGCTTGAGTGAATGTTCATAGATATTGAATAAGAGAAACAATGAATGTCATCTAAGCCAATTTGTGATTTTCATTTGAGCAGAATTCCAGGAATCCTTTTTTTCAGGATTTGTTTGGCTATAGTCCAGATTTGTCTGAAGCTTCCAGATTTCAGAGAAATTGCAGATAGAAATCAGGCAAAATATACTTCCTTGCAGTTATAGCAAAAGTTAAACAAACCAGGAACACACTAGATCTTTTCTGGGAATTGTGCAGGTGACAAATACAGTACAGTATACCCTGGTGATTATAGTTTTGGTGTATGTAATTGTCCACTGGATGTCACTGTTTCTCCACAGAAAGGAAAAATCGGTGGGTTATAAAAGACATGTTCCTTTTGGATACCTCCTCTTTCCTTTCTTCTACCCAACCAATGGCATGGTAATACTCCCAGACAAGGTGATCCTCAAGGCAAAAGACATGCTTTACACCAGTGGTTAAGTCAGGGGAAGGGCAGTAAAACACCCATTATTTCAGACTATGGGAAGCTAGGAAAAACCTTCAATATAGGGAGGTATTAGTAGTATCAGTGGAATTCTAAAGCTGACAGAGGCTTTATAGGATGGTAAAAAAGAGGTACATTAAAAATGCTTTGGAAAAGAGCATTTCCCCTATCCATCATCCACTACTGAAGCTTTATTTTTACAGCCTTTTTGAAAGTGATTTATTGCTTCTTTCATATATCTTTTAATTTGCTTCTAGGTGAAGCAGTAAATTTTGCAGTTCAGCATGCTATGTCTGAAGCCCATGGAGGAAGACCCAGTGCATCAAAGATAGCAGTGATCATTGTATCAGAGAAATCAGAGGATCCGGTGGACTCTGCTGCATATTCTGCAAGCATCAACAGTAAATTTGATCACTTTTCCACTATTTTTACTGATTTGCTTAATTTTTTAAGTAATAAGCTCGGATGGAGAGTAAAGAAATCCAAACACGATGTTATGAGTGCGGTGATTCAATGTGATTGTTTACTATTTGGTAGAGATGGGTCTTAACAAAACCCCGAGATCCAGATGCCCCTAAACTTTGGGGTAATGCAAGTACAGACCTGTTATTTGAAGCTTAGCAAACATAGGCCTCACTCCATTTACAGCCTTTCACTCTCTCAGTGCCATTGTGGATTCGACTGGATTACAGTGCCAATATTTAAATGTCATAAATTTAGACCCCTTTATATCGAGATAGTTCTTGTAAGGTTCATAAACAGAGTAAGAAACAGTAGCTCAAATTCTGCCATAACTTATACATCCTGTAAGTGCATCAATATATACTGTATGGGGCTTTATAACTTGTGTGACCATAGGCACTTCACCTCTCTGTATCTGAGTTTCCTCACCTGTAAAATGGAAATAACAACATCCTCCTTTACAAATTACTTTATAATCTACTGTTGTAAAACACGATCTAAATGCTCAGTGTTGTTATTTTTAATTAAATGAGTTGAAACAAAGAAAACAGCATGTCCCCAATGATCAAAGCTTTGGTTCTTTTAAACATTTTCTGAATGTCTCCAGCTTCTTCATGATGACCTTGCATGATCTTACAGTGGTTATTGTAACTATAAGTCTCATAATAACTATTACAGTGATTTAGAACATAGTAATATATGTTCTGAATTGCCTTCAGCCTATAGGGAGGGAATAATATGAATAATACTTGAAACTAACTGTTAGAATTCTACTCGAAGGTGCAAATCAAAAGCAAGGAGGCTCTCTTCTTTTCCATTACACTTTTAAAACCTGCTTCTCATTTCCCAGGGGTGTCATTGTTCCCAATTGGAGTTGGAGATAGATACGATGAAGAGCAGCTGAGGACGTTAGCTGGGCAATCTGCTACTGACAGGATCATTAAGCTAAGACGATTTGAAGACCTTCCCGACATGGTCACCTTGGATGATGCATTTGTCAATAAACTGTGCACGGGTAAGTTTCATGTAGTTTTATAACTTGAGCCAGAAAAACAACCACCAGAAACGATGAAGACAATGTACTTTGTACAATATACAGAAGTATTTTCCTACTCCTTTCATTACCTTAATCTTTAGCTAATTTCAGACAAAAGCCCATCAATTTTCTCATTTCCAGATGTCAGCCAAATGATACCTAGTCAGACGGTGTTTCATTGACATTCTACTTGAGTTCTCATCTGTACAGCCAGAGTCACTTAGTATGGTGACTGATTCCGAATGTTTCCAGCATAGTACTAACTACTATTCTACTTCAGCAGCTTTCAGAGAGCATTTTTAACTTTAGCCCTGTCCCTTTAGGCTGTGGATCTTATCAATACACAGGATGGATCACTACTTGGATGAAAGACCACCAAGGAAAGCCATAGCTGTAGTGGTTGGCATTGATGACTCTCCATGGGACATTGCTTCCCTGCTGAAGAAAAATAGCCCAAGCATGGTGTTAGGGGGAAGTTTGTTAGTGGGGGTGCCAGCTTTAGGGTGAGATGTAAAACCAAAGTTCTAATCACTTGAGGCCATTGAAGATCCCTCGGAACTTTTTGCATTCTTAGCTGTGATCTAAGGGTCAAATCTGACTTACTCATTCTGCCTAATTAAATGCCCCTGTCGTTCCAGATTTGGATTTCATTCATATCACTTTCTATCCTCAACTATAGTTGTACATTGCCATAACATACATTTAGATGTTAAAGAACTGCTGCGTTATGCTCCTGGGACTGGCAAAGTGAAGCCTTTATATATTGGTCACCTTTGAAAACTTTCCAGTTGCCGTAGACAAGATTACCTGAGTACTTGTACTATTCTCTGTGCGTGAAATCATGGCCCCATTGAAGTCAATGGGAGTTTTGCCATTGACTTCACCGGGGCCAGGATTTCACCATATGTATTTTCAGTATAGTAAAATTTCACATTATACTGAGGCAACTTGGGTGACTTTGGGCAAATCACTAACCCTCCCTCTGACTCTGTTTACCCTTCTGTAAAATGGGAATAATGACATTGACCTCCTGTGAATAGTGCTACAAGATCCATGGATGAAAAGCAATATATAAAGCTAGGTAGTAGTAGTAGTATTAGACAAAATTGGCATAGTAAGGGCAGCCTATGCATGTGGGTGTATGTGCATATATGTGCATGTGTATACACATACTCTTTGCATTTTTAACCCATTTGATTGCTTAAAAATTGGTTTCATGAGGACACTTAGGTCTGTGTTATTGTTCTTCTAGACAGATAATAGTACATTTTAGAGGAAAATAGACTTCAGCAGATGTCCTACTTGGCCTTCAAACAGATCAATCAACAAAGCACTTGGGTTTCCTGAGAGTGTGTGTATGCTATGGGAACTATAGAGGCATAGCTACAGTGCCATAGCTATGTCACTAGAACACCATAGTGTAGACCAGACTACAGCAATGGAAGGGATTTTTCCATCCTTGTAGGAACTCCACTTCTCCAAGCAGCAATATCTAGGCTGATGGAAGCATTCTTTAATTGACCTTGCTGCACCTACACCGGGTGTTAGGTCAGCATAGCTGTGGTGCTCTAGGGAGGGATTTTTCACACCCCTGAATGCCATAGCTATGTCAACCTAAGTTTTAAGTGAAGACCAGGCCTTAGTTTCATGGAAAAGTAAACAGGCTCTATTAATGACTGTCCCCCTACTAAGGGGAAGAGGTAGCTACCTGGTCTGATATCTCCTGCTATGTTGAGCCTCTGCCTCTAGCAAGAGGACATGGCAGGGAGCACTGATGCAGCTAGCCATGTTTGTATACAAAAGTTACAACGATCAGAACTTCTGTACCTACGGCTTCTGTACAGAAATCCAAGTGTGTATAATTGTGGGACCTAATTACACCACCTTTACTCACCTAGAATAATGCCATGCTGTGTCAGTAATCCCAAAGATGTCAATGGAAGAAATGGCAGAGTGGGATATTATGTAACTTAAGAAAAGGAGGCAGAATCAGGCCCTTTGTGAATGAGAAGTCCAGAACATAAATTTTTCTGTGCAGGTTTATCCACTGAGGGCTATATATCCATAAAGATTTCAGATAATTAAAACTGGGCAATAAACCAAATAAGGACTTTATCCAGGAACAAGACCAGAAAAAAATCATTGTGTAAAACATAGTTAATTCATCTGTGTATATTTTGCCACATTCTCAGGAACTGGTTTTATTTCTGGGCAATATTTTACTACTATTGCCCCAAGTCAGTCACTATATCGGACCATATTATTATTGGTATTTATTTGTATTGTGGTAGCACATAAGTGCCCCAGTCATGGACCAGGCCCCAGTTGTGCTAGGTGCTGTATAAACATTTGCCAGCTTTACCCTTGCTGAATAGTACTTTACCGCATGAGAAGTCCCATTGAAATTAATGGGACTATTTGCAGAGTAAAGTACTGCTGTATGTAAATCAGGTGTGTCTGGGGGAGGGGACAGGATCTGGCGTATAGATATTTAATCAATCTCCACTGAGATGACATCTGGCATTTTAAAATCTCTCAAGTAGCGGCCATTTTCTTGTTAAACAATGAGCTTTCAAAGATGTATTTCCTCCACCCTGCCCCTATAAAATGTGGGCTTTCTTTCCCAAAATTGCTTCCCTTCAAGGCCCAGGATGGGAAACAGGAAGCTGAAACAAGTGACCATTTTCTTATTGCAACTTATATGACCTGTAAGGACTGGAAACAGGAGCTTTACGCTATTATATAGCTGTTATCTCCCCCTTCCATTGGGTCAAGGCTTTTGGACTAAAGACTCAAGCTTGGATGCCTAAAGTCAGGCACCTAAGTCTGAACAATTTGGCTCTTGCTTTTATCAGTGGTAGATACTGAGATATTAGACCTTAAAAGTATGCCATTGTTCTGAACAGGAAAGTTATCTTGTATCATTTTTTAGAAGTTTCTTAAAGTAAATAAGTTACCCCTTCCTGGAGTAATTGTACTAAGAGAGCCTGGCTTTACAGGTGGAAGCATACCATAAACAATACTGATCAAAAAGATTTAAAAGCTTTCTCAAATGTTTGCAAAATACAATACTGCTCCTCTAAAAGATGAGACATATAGAGGATATATCCTGGAGTAGTGTCATGGGCGGCTCCAGGCACCAGCGCAGCAAGCGCGTGCCTGGGGCGGCAAGCCGCGGTGGGCGGCCTGCAGGTTGCTGTGGGGGCAGCAGTCAGGGAGCCTTCGGCGGCGTGCCTCCGGGAGGTCCGCCGGTGCCGCGGCTTCGGCGGCAATTCGGCAGCGGGTATGCCGAAGGCGCGGGGCCGGCGGACCTCCCTCAGGCATGCCGCCAAATCCGCGTTACCAGTGGACCTCCCGCAGGCATGCCGCCGAAAGCCGCCTGCCTGCCGTGCTTGAGGCGGCAAAATACATAGAGCCGCCCCTGAGTAGTATAGTATGGTATGAAAGGTTTGCTGCTTATGAGGAATGGGGACATCCCAAACTCATGCCAACCAAACCATTATGCCACAGTACCCCATTAATTAACAGAAATTAATTCAGGGAATTCCGATGGCCTGTTTTATACAGGAGATCAAACTAGATGATCACAGTGTTCCCTTCTGGCCTGGTGATCTAGGAATCCATGAGTCCTATATTCATATATTCTCCTTGTTTCATTGTGTGTTTGTGTGTGTTTGTACACATGCATGTAGAGGCTCCAGTTCAATAAGGTACTTTTAGAATATCTGTTTTAGGATTTTATATTGCTGTCCATCACCATAGAATCAGAGCAGAGTATGCCTAAATTTAAAGCATGTGAGTATTCTCATTGAAATCAGTGGGACTACTTGCATGCTTAAAGTTAGTTGCATGCTTAAGTATTTTGCTGAATTGGGGCCATGCTCTTTACTTGTCTCTATTTGGTAAATGTACCATATACTATATTATCACATGTTAATCACTGATTGTGTGTTCAAGTCTATATGAGGTGCAGAAGCCGGCATGGACCCTGCCCAAAGGAACATACAATCTAAGGCCTGATCTTGTATTGAACTCCACATAGGCAGACCTTTATGCCCATTCAGTGCTCACTGCAGGATTGCAGCCTAACTGGGAACTGCTATACATGCAGATTGTTTGTAAAGTGCTTTGGGATTAAAGACAGTGTGTGAATGGGAGATGATGCTACTAGTAACCAGCTTTGTCTATTCTGTGATCTCCTCTTGTAAGAACATAACGTAAGAACAGCCATACTGGATCAGACCAAAGGTCCATCTAGCCCAGTATCCTGTCTTTCGACAGTGGCCAGTGCCAGGCGCTTCTGAGGGAATGAACAGAACAGGTAATCATCAAGTGGTCCATCCCCTGTCACTCATTCCCAATTTCTGGCAAACATTTTGGGCAGATGCGTGCAGTCCTCAGGGACGAATTCACAGGGTATAAAACAAGAAAATCTCTTAGTCTGAGTTACATTTTAAAAGATGGAATCGATATTTTAGTGGATTCGACCTAAGATCCTGGACAGCTGAGAGATAAGCCAAATATATGTCTTTTTCTCTTTCAGAGCCTGCTGGAGAATGTATAGATGAGGATGGGAATAAAAGAAGAGTAAGTGTATTTTTTTGTATCCTCCATCTCCCTTTCAAGTAAAATATTATAGAGCGTCTGCACTGGAACATGAATGTCTATGTATGTGCTCTGCCAAAGAAAGTGTTGAACAATATTAATTGTTCTTCAGTAATGATCGCTGAGAATGCAAATGTTAGTTTACTAAATAGAACAATGGGAGCGCGCTGCACAATTTTTTTTCTCCCCGATGGTACTTGATTCTGTAGTGTGCTGAGCAGTGTTCAAGGAGGTGCACACAGAGCCAAAGCACTAGCACTCAGGGCTCGTCCTCCCTGACAGAAAAGTGTGGTTTTTAGCCCGCTGTGAAAATATAAAGGAGACAAAACCATTTAGATTTGTCATGACTTAAAGTAGGCAATGGGGGCCAGATGGAGAAGTATACCACTGACTTTGCTGAACTACCTTGTAGTAAACACTACAGGTGCCCTGTCTCCACCAAATCTAGTGCATATTTGTTGTTTTGCTGTAAAAGGGACCTTTTTTAAGCAGTGACAACAAAGCCTCAGTGCTTGAGTGGAAAGGCTTCTACTAATCCATGCATCATCTAGCAGGGGCCAAGGTTCAGTCTACACTAGAAAATTAGGTCGGCATTTCTGCATTGCTCAGGTGTGTGAAAAATCTGCACCCTTGAGTGCCATAGTTAAGCTGACTCAAGTCCCTATGTAGACAGGGACTCAGGGATGTGGATTACCTACGCTGATGGGAGAACCCCTCATGTCCGCATAGGTAGTGTCTACACTGAAATACTACAGTGGTGCAGCTGTGGCACCATAGTGTTTTAAGTGTAGACAAGCACTGTAGACTCCATCCTGGGGTTCATCTTGATCAGTTAATGTGTTAAAACTATAATTGCCTTGTTAAAACTATAATTGCCTTGTCTATGCTAGTTAACATATTCAAATATACTTTTTTTCCTAGTGTAGGCAAAACCTTAGAAAGACAGGATGTGGCCAGAGCATAAGTCCTTTTGAATATGTCTAGACTCAGAAAAAGGTGTGTTTTTAAATCAAAGCTGCCTCATAGTATTGACTCCCAGAAGCCAACATCATAACAAAATTGTTAAACTGCATGTTCATTAGGTGCTAAGTGGCTATAGCTGGCTCAAGGTAAAAAAATCATCATTATTCCTAGTCCAAACAAAGCTAAATGCAAACCATTTAATATAAATGATGAGCCGAATTATCAAAAGGGCAGCCTCCAATTTGTCGGCAAAATTTGCACATTAATTTTTTGCATCCATATTTGAAATCTCCATATTTATACCTCTACCTACCTAGCCGCAGATGCAAAGCATGAAGTTAGAAGATCAAATACTCAGATTTACACCTATAATTCATTTTGCTAGAGAAAAATTGCAGGCAAAAATTATGGGTTCCAAATGCCCTGCAAGAAGAAAGGCCAGGCACCAGCCTATCTGAAATTGTACCCTGCATTGGAGTGGTGGCCTTTTTAAGGATCTTCTGTTATTCCTACTGCCAGCCAGGAATAGTGGCTTTTAGAAGACACTGAGAGCAGAGGTAGTTATAGGAGCCAAACACTGCCGCAGAAATGTGTCCATAGGTGCTTGTCATAGAACATACAGACCCCAAGTTGTCCCAGACACTAAAAGGTTAACAGGGAGACTAGTTATCTCCTCAGGTGGGGCTGTTTGGTGGCCCTGCAGCAGCTAGGGAAATGAAAAGGCTGCAGGCCAGAATGGAAGGTCAGCTGTCAGAGAGACTGAGGAACCACTGAGCGCAAAGTTGTTTAGCAGTGGACTGGTGGGAAGCTGCCTGGGTAAATGGACCTCCAGAAGAAGAGGATCAGAGTGTGAGTCTTGGAAACAGTCAACTAGGGAGGTGTGGAAAGAAGCAGTCCAAGGAAGCAGTAAGGACTTGGCTCCAATTTCTTCATACAACATCCCTGGATTGGAACCCAGAGGAATGGGTGGGACTGGGAACTTCTATCAACCTCAGCAAAGGGGTTATTAAGGCCTGTGGAGCAAAGAGGCCTGAGACTGTTGACTCTTCATGAGGGTTACTTGCCTCTTGACTCAAGAGATTTTAACATGCTGAGGAGGAACATGCTGGGAGTGGGGGGAGGAGACTATTAATATTCTGTCTGGAGTCATAATGAGACAATAATAGACATGGGGCTAAATGGTGATTGGCCAAACAAAGGGGAAACTGAGGCAGACTTGCCATTAAAAACCTAATAGCAGTGTGGGGCACCAGAGGCTGAAAGCAACCCCCTGGACAGAGCTAATAAAATACTATCCCTCATAGTCAGCTTCTCAATGCCTTCCGATGTGTTCTGGGCCTAGAGTTGTTGCTCAACCACCAGTCTACAGCACCTGCTTCCATCTCTCTTCTTTCATCTTATTAGCTCATGAATAACAAAAGCAGCATCTTCGGCAGCTCCATCTGTAGCACAGGACTGCCCTCTCGCAACACTCATCCACATCCCTGCAGGATCAAGCCCTTATCAATGCAGATTTAGGATTCCTTCCTAAATTCTGATAGGATGGGACCTTATGCCTGATCTACAAGGTGCTAAGTGGGTTGCTGCAGGAAGTGCGTTAACATTTGTTAGTCTCTAAGGTGCCACAAGTACTCCTCGTTGTTTTTGCTGATACAGACTAACACAGCTACCACTCTGAAACCTAAGCCATTATAAGACACCTTTATACCAATATAACTGTATCCAGACTAGATATAGCTATATTGGTAAGATATCACTCTCCTAACCGATATAGTTATTCCAGGAGAACTTTTCTAGTGTAGATCAACCCTTGGTGATAAAACCCTAATAATAATAATAAAGAGCTATCTGTTCATGAGTTCAGTGAAGGTGCCGGGCCTTCTGAGCTGAGGGTCCTCAGTTATAGAATGAGTGTATACATCTAAATAAATAGATACGGAGCTCCCTCTGAGAGGAAGTTTGCCTGGGTCATCCTCTGGCATTCTGGGAATCACATCTATTTCAGATGATTTATCCTTGACCATTCTGGAGCCTCTGCTATTGGTATATGTGTTTTGTGTGTGTGCACGCACATGCTTTCTATCCCATTTCCCCCCTCCAACGTTTCCACATCAGTTGGGAATTAGCCGCTGTTTGTTGCTTTGAGGGTCACTGGGTTTCCCACTGTGCCAGATTCCTTGGCTGTGTCTGGACAGTTCTTTTAATTGAATTTTTTAACGTGTTGTGCTTTGGTTTTATTGTACAGCTTTGAGATGCTTTGTGATAGGTTTCCTGTAAATGGGTTAAATAAAAATAATTAAAGAAATATGAAAACCAAAAAGCCTTTTTTGCCAGATGTGCACAGCTGTCTACGTACCCTTCCAGTTGCTTTACTTCCAGTGGGTTGAGAGAGAGAGGAGAGTATAATTAAAAAACATGTCATATCTTACTACCTAAATATTTTTTCCATATTTAAAACTCCTCACATTACTTTTATTTATTTTATAGCTTCCCCTAGGCTCTCAAGCCTGAAAAATCTTAGACAACTTTTAAGAGACATTTGCTATAATGAAATCTTTTCAAAGTCCTAAGACCTACAAAGCATGCCTAGGGAAATGCACTCATATTTAATATGTACTCCCAATATTTATGACTTCAAATCTGGCAGTTCTCTTTTAGAACTAATGGTATCCCATAGCTCAGAGATGTAGAAAAATACTTTTAAAGCATTATTCCTGGTTTGCACACTAGTGCCAAGAATAGACGATGAATTATGCTGTGTCTAACCCAGATATTTTGTCACCTTGCTATTCACTCTCATGAAGACTAGAGAAGAGCAGAAATGGAGAAGCCTTAAAGTAGCCTATCTAGATAGTCACCATCCTTTCTTCCCCATGCTCTTTATGCTTATGAATCTGGGGTGCTGTCATCCAGCTCTTAGAACCACTGTCTTTATTCCTAGTAGAACTTCTAGGACTGACACTGAAGGATTGTATGCAGTGTTGTGATAACCATGTTGGTTCCAAGATATTAGAGAGACAAGGTGGGTGAAGTAATATCTATTATTGGAAGTTGGTCCAATAAAAGATATTCTCTCACCCACTGAAGGACTAGTCAGTTAGGGGTGTTGAGTCTTGGAAGCATGCGTTTTGGGGATGATATTTCTGGGAATTTAGGGGTCATTCCTGCAAGATGATGAATGATTTGGCATTCAGGTCAACAGAACTACTCATGTGCTTAAATGCTTTGCAGGATTGGAGCTAGAGTGCTCGGTGGAGGATTGAACACAGGTTGTGATTGTACCACTTACTCAGAGGTTAAGAGGGTATTGCCCTGGAGCCTTAAAATTCCAACTGTCCTGCAGGAAGAGAGTATCCTTTTTATTTTACATGAACACCGTGGTTATCTAATAACATTCACCCTGCAGGGCAGCAAATCCCCTTCAGGATGGGTGGAATTTTTAAGGGTTCAGGACTGTAGGTAAAATAACCCAGCGATTCCAAGCCTTCAGAAAAGGGGCTTTTGTTTTACTAGCTTGAAACAACTCTCATTAATTCCTGCTGTGCTATAAGCATCTGTGTTCAGAATACTTTCCAAAATAATTTTACACTCATGAAAACCAAAGGCATTGGTATTTAAAGAAAAGCACTGGGAAATTCTTTATTGACTGTGTTGTCCATGTGTGCTGCAGGGCTGCTCTGCTAACAATAGACAAAAGTACCAGATATTTCATGCTCTTCCAGCAAAGCATCCCTCATTATAGACTATTATCCTTTGCATGGAATTTCAGAATCTATTTCTTGCGATGTTTCTATATTAACTTTCTCATGCCCATGAACTCCCTAATACGTTGCATTCTATTGTTTAATTATCCAAGGCTATTTTGAACAGCACTGCTGGCAGTGTCACTTTACTTGCTAGTTTTAGGTTATGGAACACAGTCTGGTAGCTGCTATGTGGAGGCTTCCAAGTGTTGTTTGAATTTTCTTTTCTTGCGTCAAACCCTATTTTAATAGCAGCATGTCTTCTTGTATAGCCCGGTGACAAATGGACATTACTGGATAGTTGTCACTTTGTGACATGCTTACCAGGTGGCCGCACGGTTCTGGAGAGTCACCGAATTAATTGTGCGAAGATGCCAAGACCTACATGTCACAATAATCTCCCTGCTGTTAAAACTGAGGAAACCTGTGGCTGCCGCTGGACATGTCCATGTGAGTAACTTATTTTGCATAAACGTGTTTTTTCCCCCAGGACCGACAATGTGTTCAGAAAATGTACTGATGAATGGAACACAGAGCTACAACCCGAGGAGGAATCCAAAGTTGCTTGAATTGAGATGAATTTATACTTGTTCTTTATCAAAATCAAAATTCATAATCTCAAATAATTTAGGGCTGGATTCTGGCCAGATGGTGTACAAGGACACAGGAGGGGTCTTTGGCCAGCCTTTGTATATGAGCACAAGATGAAGGAGGACTACGAGTCGCATGAGGAGATAATCCTTGCCCTAGGCGCTATGGCTGTGCTCCCCCCACTCCCTTCACACTAGGGCATGCGGTTGGCTGGGTGCAAAGAAAGGAGAGAGCTGGCTTTTTTAAGGGTGGTGCAGCAGATCTACATTGCCTGGAAGCTCCTACGAGAAATTCTGGCATCGCTCTCCCTCTAACATTCCTGAAGGCTCAAAGGGCCCTTTCTTAGCTTATGTCTACTCTGCAATGACAGATGTGATTGCAGCTCAGGTATGAACATCTGCATTACCTTTAATTTATCTAGCATGGCTAAAAATAGCAGTGGAGACGCAGTGGCACAGACCCTGGTGTGGCCTAGGAAGCTGAGTATGAGTATGTATCCAGGGTTCTAGGCGGCTTGGTATAGCCCACGCGGAAGCCTCTGCACACTGTGGCTTCACTGCTGTTTTTAGCCATGCTGCCTAGATTAAAACTCTCATGGATATGCCTCCGTGTGCTGCAATAACACCTCCAACGACAATGTAGACATACCCTTAGTTGTGATAGCATCTCACAAATGTGGGAGCTCACACATCTCTATAGAGATTTTGCATGGCGACATGCAAAATATTGAAAGATATAGCTATAGATTAAAACAGTTTTGATTTTTCCTCATATTTTCAATATCTTTTCCTTTCATTTTTAGTACTAAATACATTGACTTGAAAAAAACAAATCTTAAAATTAGAATTAAAATATTTCAAATTATAATTAATATGTTTAATATTTAAGCTTTTTTCATAAGAAGACATACATGTCTTTCAAACATACAGATATTTTCAGATGGATTATAAATAAGGTTGTGAGTTTGTTATGGCGGTCAAGGAAGTCACGGATTCTGTGACTTTCTGTTACCTCTGTGATTTCTGCAGCAGCCAGTGTGGCTAGATCCGGGGCAGTCTCGAGCCAACCCCCTCCTAAACAGCAGCAAGAGGAGTTTGTGTGTGTGTGTGCGGGGGGGTGGGGGGGGCAGGGGGCTAGGATGCGGGAGGGGGTGAGGGCTCTGGGCCATGCTTTCCTTGGGGGGCTCCCCAGAAGCAGCAACATGTCCCTCCCTCAACTCCTAGCTCCGCCTCTGCCCACAGGCATGGCCCTCGCAGCTCCCATTGGCAGCGGTTCCCAGCCAATGGGAGCTGTGGAGCTGGCAGTGCGTGGAGCTAGGAGCTTAAGGAGGGACATGTTGTTGCTTCCGAGAAGCCGGGTAGGGAGCCTGCCAGCCCTGCCAACTCCTCCTCCCCTCATCACCCCCGGCGCCCCCCGGGCCACCACCCCCAGCACCCACAGCCCCCCCCCACGAGCACCTGCGGCACTTCCAAGATTTAGTGAGGGGTACAGTACAAGTCATGGACAGGTGATGGGCCGTGAATTTTTGTTTACTGCCTGTGACCTGTCCATGACTTTTACTAAAAGTACCTGTGACTAAAACGTAGCCTTAATTATAAACAGAGTACTGGGCCCCAAATGCATCTTACACATTACAAATATGGTAAACATATAATTGTGTACATATATACATCAAACACACACACATATGTATAGAACACAAGCCATATTAAAATAATATTAATTATGCTTGCAAAATTAAACACTTTAAAGCTAGGAAATACCAGAATTATGGATGCCTGGGCAACCTTAATTCAGCCCTATTGTGTGTATGTATTATGATGCAATCTTTAATTACGTGATCACATATTATTTTTTCTGCAGGACCTTCCTGGCTCCTCATCTAATCTGTTTCTCTTCCCAACCCTGGTTTCTAGTCATCTCCCTGCCCTTGGTTTCTAGTCATCTCCCTGCCCCTACCAATGTTCCCCAGTCCCAGTCTCTCTCCCTGGGATTTTTGTTCCAGTCTCTTTGTCCAGCTAGTCCCAATTCTCCTCTTACAAACCCATCTCTTTGTCAAATCTATCTTTCCTCCTCCTGACCTCTTATTTGTTCACAGTCCCAGTGTCCTTGCTAGCCAGTTTCCCTCTTCCCCCCAAACTCCCAGTCCCAGTTTTCCTCTTCTCCCAGGACCACTTCCATCTTCCACTCCCAGTCTCTTCCCATTAGGTTCCTTATCCTAATCTACTTCCCCTACCCCCTCCACTCAGATCTGACTCTTACCATTTCTGAATCTGAATCAACCAGCTTCTTCCTCCACATTGCCTGGCCCAGCAGGGGGGTCATTTAAAGCACAGGAGAGACAGTTGCCCTGCTCTCAGTTCAGGCGCCTGGGCTTGTCACCGCCTGCAGCAGCCAAGAGCTGCAATTTCAGGGAAAGTCCTGTTCAGTCCCTATCTGGAGCATGCCCAGTATGGATGGAATATTGGGAATTTAGTTGCTAAAAACTAAGTCGTTTCTACTGAGCATGTAGAAATTGATTTTTCAAAGGCTTATAACTTGGCCAAATTTGGGCAGATTTTCACAGAGATGGCAGAAGGCTCATTCCCGAAACAGCGGCCATCCTCTGACAAATTGAAGTCCCTGCTCCAAGGTATAGGGGCACTAGAGCTTTTTAAAGAATAGGTCACCAGATCCAGGCAAAACATATTTTTCCCTAGCCTCATTCTTGTAAATGGCTGAACCTGTTTGGCAGAAATTTATATGTACCATAAAAAAATATATATATATATATATATAAATATATATACACACAAACACACATCAGGTTGTTTTATATATATATATAATGATAATAACAACTGATGTGTGCAGCTCTGAATAGCATCTGATGTGTGCAGCTCTGAATAGCATATCCTTGAAGGAGACCATGGGGGCCAGCCACACCTGTGTCATAATTAATTAGCATCTTCTCAGCTTGAGGGGACAGGACTAAAATGATAGATTAATAGACACCCAAACATTATAAAAGGGCTGAGAGAGATCAGACTGGGGTGTGCAACCATAAGCAGTGGATAGGCTCCTGTGGAAGGCCCTGAGCCAGGGTCTGCAGAAGGCTGGGTACTTCAAAGGAAGCGGCCTGGGCCCCCAGTGATTTATACGAGAACCAGAAAAACTCTCTAAGATACTCAAGAAAGAGGATGGGAAGCAGCCAATTATTTATGGCATGGCTGGCCCCATCTCCCCTTAGGGCCAATCATCCTGTGACTCCATGCCACCACAGAAATAGATGGGGTCAAACTGATATACAGGCACTAATCCTGCAAACAGTTATAGGCATGAGCAGTGGGACTGCTTGCCTGCTTTAAAGCTAAGAACGGGCATGTTTGCAGGATTGGGGCCATAGCGTGGGACTGTCTGCTGGAAAAAATTATAATGTTTTACCAGGGAGAGGCCCAGACTGGTTTCCAATTTCCAAACCTTTCTGAACTGGGGAGGAGGGAGTCTGGAAAAATAAGCTGAATCTGAACAAACTTTAGGACATTTAGTCTATTCTCTGGCTAACCTCAAGCTTCTGGGTTGGGTTCTGAGCCCAGGCAGATGTAGGAAAAAAACCTAATACATAGCATTTGCTCTTGATTTTGAGTGTGTGAACAGGAACAATTGATATTGTGTGAGCTGTGCCTTGGCTCAGAGAGAGTGAGAGTACTCCCACTCAAACACACAGAGATGAGGGACCCAGCAGTGGTGCTGGAGTGGCCGGTTGCTGAAAAGAGAGCCTCTGGGAAATGACCCTCCCCTCCACCCACACACAGTAGGGGGAGAAGATGCTCTGCTGCTTTTTGACTTCACAGCTTTCCGTGTGATTAGAGTAGTTACTGCAGGGCTTGCCCTATGATGAGTTTTGCTAGACTGGCACTGTACCTCTTAGATGTGTGTGTGGGAGGGGAATTGTTTTCATGTGGAAGGAAGATAGGAAAAAATGATGGCCCTTTGATCAAGCGAAATCACTAAGAGCCAAACCCTCCCGCCCAATTCAAAGGCCATGGAAAAGGCACGGAATGCAGTGGAACTGGTACGGCCTTGCTGCATGGGGGAGGGGGTTATGCACGTGGTCTTTCTACCCCTGCACAGCATGGAGCATTGTTCCACAGCAGTCTACAGAGGAGAGGAGACCAGGCACGGCAGGGATAGGGCAAGAGTAAGAACTCTGCATCTACAACAACATGGATTCACTGACCAAGCCTCACCAATCCACAATAGGGAAGTGGCCATAAAAGCTACTGCAGCCAGTATACTTGAGCTCTGCACAAGAAAAGTGACTGATTTATATGCTTATTTTGATTACAAGTGCCTAGAGCCAAGGTGAGGCACTTTCATGCTTTCTAACTGCTGTACAAAAATATGAATGGCAAATGCATACATTAGGCTGCATTTATAAAGCGCAGTGTTCCATGCCTTTTTAGACAAAATTCACAGTAGCGCCAAAGGTTTGAGTCTACCGGTAACATTTTCAAAAGTGCCTAAGTTACTTAGGAGTGTTTGAATCCCATTTTCAAAAGGGAGCTTAAGCCCCATTGACTTTCAGCTCTAAAGTGCCTAAATCTCTTTTGGACCCAATGTGCCTAAGTCACTTAGGCACCTTTGAACATTTTATCCCCAGTCATTTTTTAATAGTAAAATCCCATGACTCCCCAGCTGTAATGTATACTTTCATCCTGGGATAAAAAATGTCCTCCGAAGAACTGCCATGTTCAAAGACAAAGTTCCTGAAGGGACTAATGTGCTATTTGAAATGTTCAGGATTTCTAGCTGGACTCAGAGCTTTTTATTGTCAGATGTGGAAAACTTTCACACCAAGAATTTGCCTGTTTAATGTTCCCTTCAAACCACATTAAATTATCTAGATATTTTAAATCCAAGATTTCCTTTCTAATGTAAATATTCCCTAAATGTAAAATTATTGCATAGATTTTAGCTGAATCATTTTATTTGTGTCCAAAAGAAGAAACAATTACTCATGTAGTTTTTATTTCAATAGTGTGATATTTCCTATTTCATGAATAAGTGAACAGCAATACAAACCCATTAGTTTTGGCATTCCAAATATGTCTCCCTAAAGGATCTCTTAAGGGATTAAATTTAAAATTTCCACTTGTACCATTAGTCACTTGGCACAGAAAAGCCTATAGTTGTCTTAAGGTTATTGCCCTTCAGAATGAGATAATGTTTGTTTAGCTCTGTATAAATTTAACACGCCATGATAGCCCAGAAATTCACTTCATTTCCCAAGATGATATGAGTGTGTAAGGCAGACTGCTAACTTTTCACATTTACCAAAACCCACAAGTCATATGTGTTTTTGGCTCAGCTAAACCAGTGCAAGTCTGTGTTAGTTATAGACAAGTCAATTGGCCAATGAGGGCCCGATTCTGCACATGCTGAAGTCAATGGCAAAACTCCCATTGACATGAATGTGAGCAGCCCCAAGTCCTAAATGAGTGAAGTACTTGGAGCTAAGAGACTTAGCGGGTATAACTATTTTGGCCGAGCCCACTAGCAGAGACTCAGCTTAAGCTGCCAGAGGAGTTCTTTTGAATGCACAGCTATATGACTATATTAGCTAAGCCAATAGAAGTATGCTTTTGTCAGCGTCGCTGTGTCTACATAGGTGGTGGTGGTAAGGTTTGCCGGTGCAGCTATGTTGGCTGGAGGGTTGCTGATCTTTTCCCCACGCTCCTTGCTGTCATAGCTACACCAGCAAAACTTTGTAGTGTAGACCAGGTTGCAATCTACTGCATTTGTTTGTGATTTAATTTAGTAGTGCTTTTGAAACTTTGTTTGCTTAAAACTGAGATTAGAGGTTTGCTGAGAGTACAGACAAACATTGAATTGTTTATGGTATTTATAAACCAGCAGCCAAACAAATGATAGTATATGCAGAAACATTTTCTTACAAAACTTTATATTTATTAGGCTTGTAAAGATTTTAGTGGTAATGTCTCTACAACTCTTGTATAGGAATAACATAAAAGAAGGTATATTTAACAATATGAAGGTGCTACATTTCCAAGTGTTCCTATGGCTTTGGTAGTTCATAATCTGACAGCACAATATAGAAAGGTTTCCAGAACAGGAAAATTAAATGGGTTTGTGTCTTTTTTGTTGTGTTAGGAATTATAAAAAAGACCTGAGAGATATTTTAAAAGATTTTTTTCTGCCTCTTTTTAACCTTAAAATATTAGAAACATCAAGTCTGGTCTTTGCTGTTTCTTGCTGGAGGTCTCCAGGGCCATCCCTAGCCATTTTGGTGCCCTACGCAGCCCCCTGCAGGGGGGCTGTGTGAGGCCCCAGGCTTCTGCGCGGGGGGCTGGCCCCAGGCCTCCATGGAGCGAGGGGTCTGGGAAGCAGGGGGGAACCGCCCCCTGGCCCCAGCCTGCTCCGCTCTGCTCCCCTGGCTCCCAGCCTTGCGGGGCAGGGGGAACCGCCCCCCAGCACTTGCCGGGGGCACGGCTGGAAGCCAGCGGAACGAAGCAGGCTGGGGCTGGGTCACTCTACTTACCACACAGTGAGTGCAGCCCCGACCCCTGCAGCAGTCCTCAGGAGAGTGGGGGCGGGGCTGGGGCAGAGCAGGGGTGGGGGAAGAGGCGGAGCAGGGGCTGGAGCAGCACGCAGCTGCGCAGGGCACCAAAAATGTGGTGCGCCAAATTTCCTGGTGCTCTACGCAGCTGCGTACTTTGTGTATGGATAGGGATGGCCCTGGAGGTCTCATTGGAAGATGAAGGCTCTGGAATGAGAGTTTTCTCAGCCTTTAATTGAAGGGCCAGGAAGTTGAATCATTAACAAAGAGAGTTTTCCTCCCAACTGTTTACCTAATGTTGGAGTGAAATAGAGGTTAACAAAAACAAATCAAGGGTTTTTAAACGTTTGACCAAAAACCCTGTCTAATTGCTCAGGTTTCATTTCCTTGGTACTTGTCAGCTCATAATTCTACTAGTTCTCTGGTCATCCAGGAAAAAAACAAGTTTAAAACAAAATAACAACAGAAATATCCTTTTCATGTGTTCCTTATACATCATAAAGGGAGAAAAAGACACAAACTCAACTATTTTCTCCTTTGTTGCTCATCTTTAATAGAAATATGTTAATACATCAAACTCAGTAGAAAACAACTTATATGCACAGGATCTGCCACTAACTTATCTGTCTATTTTGTAATAATGGTTATTCCTGACAGAGACAATTAGAAAAACTTCATTTCATCACAAGATGCTGGTAGGTGTTCCTTCTCCTTTAGGATTTGATGAAATATTTAACTTTATCTTTTCATATAGATTAACTTCCTACCTTTAATGGGTTCTTCCCACCATAGGCGCCGACTTCTGCTCGCGCCAGTGGGTGCTTGACCCCTGTCTGCCCCAAGCCCTGCCCCGACTCCACCACTGCCCCGCCCCGTCCCTCCCCTGCCCTACCACCATTCCAACCCCTTCCCCAAAGTCCCCACCCCAACTCCGCCTCCTCCCTGCCCCTATTCCGACTCCTTCCCCAAATTCCCGCCCCGGCCCCGCCTCTTCCCCGCCTCCTCCCCTGAGCGTGCTGAGGTTGGGCGGGGGGAGGGGGGGAGGGGGACAGGAAGGGAAGCTTGACTGCCAGTGGGTGCAGAGCACCCACTATTTTTTCCCCGGGGGTGCTCCAGCCCCGGAGCACCCATGGAGTCAGCGCCTATGCTTCCCACTGACATCAGTCTATTCTGGGTCAGGCTCAAAATGAATTGGAAGAGATATTAACAATGACAAAGACATGTCTGTAGCCAATCCTGTGATAAACTATCTAAAGGTTTGTTAACTAGGAAAGAGAAAAAAGAGTTATTTAAAGGTTGAAGTGACCAAACATTTACATACAAATGAGTTACAATCTAAATCCTAAGAGTGACAGAGTTGTAGTGATCTGTGAATTCAAAATGTCTTTCTCTGTTTTCTGTTTAGTGTCTCTGGCCCTATGAGAATTCAAACAGCAAAAAGATGGACAATTTTCCTGTCTTTCTTTTATTTCCTTCATTCTGCCTTCAAGACCATTGGACGAGCTTCCTTGCATGTAACATTTTGAAGGTTCAATAGGGCCATTCACCATTCCCTTGTATTGCAATGTTCCTGGATGGCCCATCTGATTCTGATAGTTCTTCAGGATGGGCAGCATGGGAGGGGGAACACTCTTCCCATAGGAGTTCACAAGTTTAGAGCAAACATTTTCAAAGTTATAAAGCAAAACGTACATATTTCCTTATAGCATGGAATACAGACATTACAAATAAGATTAATGCATGCAGCAACTCACTAACATTCTATACAGTGTAAACATTAAATACATTTTTATAAGACTAACACCCAGCGGCGGCTCCAGGCACCAGCGCTCCAAGCGTGTGTCTGGGGCAGCAAGCCGTGGGGGATGCCCTGCCAGTCGCTGTGAGGGCGGCAGTCAGGCTGCCTTTGGCGGCTTGCCTGCGGGAGGTCCGCCGGTCCCGCGGCTTCGGCGGCAATTTGGCGGCGGGTACGCCGAAGCCGCAGGACCGGCAGACCACCCGTAGGCAAGCCGCCGAATCCGCAGGACCAGGGACCTCTCGCAGGCGCGCCGCCGAAGGCAGCCTACCTGCCGTGCTTGGGGCGGCAAAAAAGCTAGAGCCGCCCCTGCTAACACCTATTCTGAGCAACACTAACAAATGGATGAACTAGTTTGGTCTCCAGCTAATGTCTGCAGCCTTGGCAAGAGCTAACACCTGGACTGCCAGCATCACAGAGATAATGAACTTTTTTCTCTCCTCACCTTTGCAGGCATGTGCATGGGCAGCTCAACCCGACATATTGTCACCTTTGACGGGCTGGATTTTAAACTGACTGGCAATTGCTCCTACACCTTGTTTCAAGACAAAGAGCATGATATTGAAGTGATTCTCCACAATGGGGCGTGCAGTTCAAAACCAAAACTAAACTGTATGAATGCCATAGAAGTGAAGCACCATGGCAAATCAATACAGCTCTCTGGAGACATGACAGTAAGCCATGAGCAATGAAATAGCTGTACGATTCTCTGGTCAAATGACAATATTCCAGATTATGAGGACAGAGTTGTGCTCTCCTTTTTCAGTATTTATATTGCAGTGCCGTTTTTTTCTATTTACAGTGTTTTATTTCTTATGCTGCTAAAATCTTTATCATTTTTGATTCCAGAATAAAGTCCCTGCCCATATGATGCACCGAATTTGCTTCTTTGCACTGCTCTGGCAATGCAAAGAGGATGGAATCTGGCACTCCCTGTCTGGATAGGGATTCTGGGGACAGGCAGGCAGGTGTAGCCAGAACTTGCTGCACTCTGGTTCTTTTCAACTGGTGAATGGTCCCTTGTGGGTTATTGTCAACTGGTGCATGTTAGAGCAGCCCATGAGCTGCTCTAACCTGTGCAAGGGCTGCAACCAGAGAGAATCAGGGAGCCATAACTGGCTTCCTGACCTCTCACGCAACAGCTGCATTGGGTGGATCTCAGCCCTAGCAGATAATCTGCCCCAATGTGTCTAACATTCACTTTATAGACAAACAGGTGTTAATTTAATAGTTGTGGATGTTACTGTTCAAAGCTTTAATACAATTTTAGGGAACTCAGACATACAAGTATTGACTAACATACAAGGCAGAGCTAACTAGATCTAGTCACACCCTTGCATAACAACATAATATATGAACAGTAGACTATAGAAAGGTTCAGGGTCTGCTCCAAGTCAGATGCAATTACATAGGTTACCTCATACCACAACTAAATCAATGTCTGCAATGCCATATATGTTTTGTAGTCTTCTATCACCATCAGGTTCTTTCATTGTTGCCCATAGCTTCTTGTCAATGGATGGGATGACTTTTGTGGCCATACAGAACTTCTTCAGTAAATAGAGGAGAACTATTTGTTCCAAATTAAAGGCTAATTATGATGAAATTAGGATATTTGGATCTGATCCTCTAAGGTGCTGTATGGCCTCAACTCTCACTGGAATTTGAGGGTGCTTAACATCCAGCAGAAGGCATTGAACACCTTACAGGATTGGACCGTTAGCCAGTAAATACATATGTGATGCTGCAAATGGGAAAGTGTTGACTCACAAAAAAGGAGCACACAATCCATTTCATGCATTTCTACACTCAGAGCAGAGACTCTGCTTGCAGCTTGAACTGGTCTCTATATTATTTGTATTCTCTTGGCTTTAATCAACTCAGTTGGATCTTCAGTCCCTTATGAAGTTAAAATGTGTTTAGGAATATCTAGACTCTATAAATTTTTTTTGGTTGGTTGGTAGAACTGATGGAGTATTCTCACCCTCTTGAAACAGGTTGCTGTTAATGGAGAAATGACTACTGTTCCTTATATAGATGATTACTTTAAAGTCACCATCTATGGAGCAATAATGCATGAGATCAGGTTCTCCCAGCTCGGACATATTTTCACATTCACTCCAAGAAACAATGAATTTATCCTTCATCTTATCCCAAGGAGCTTTTCTTCACAAACATATGGCCTTTGTGGTAAGTTTTTTCAGTGTTTTGAGTTAAATAGGTGTTAACAAAACCCAGCAAAACACATAGAGTTTTAAACAGTCAGACTAAAAATCCCTTCCTAGTCTGCACTGCACACTAAATCTGGGCTCTGACTCAGGTTTGTGCCACAGCCACACACAAGTCAGGCTGACTCGGGTTACCAAGCACTCGGGTCCTGGGTCCTAGGACTCTGCTGAGGGGTGGGGGGAAAAGGGGTCAGAACCTGAGTCCCGCTGTGACACGGGTCCAAGCCCTGTCATTTTGTAGTGTGGTCACAGGTCAAGCCACAGACCCAAGTCAGAGGGTTCGTGTAGCGCAGTATGGATGCATTAGCCTGGCTGTGAGACCTGGGTCCAGCAATTGTAAATACAGGTTTAAAATCCAATGTGGATGCTGAAGTCTGGAAACACTGAGTCCACAAGCCCGGGTGCCACAGACCTAGGCTTAGTGTGCACTGTAGATGTACCCTCGATGGCTCAGCTTTCATTCTCTTGTGATGCCATAATCTCACTGGTTCTCCAGGCATCCATAGAATACCAAATAACTAAACCAGGAATTCTAACCTAATAAACAAGTAAAAAACATCCTAAGATTTTTAGGCCTATATAGATCATAAAGAAGCAATAAGGAGCAAAACTCATTCTTCCTCCCCTTGCAGCTCAACTTTTGAGCCTGAAGGAGCTCTGTTTGCCTTGCCTCTGTTTGCTCAAAATTGTTAGACTGCTGATGGTTTTTAAACCTTCTTTTTTCTCACTCACCTAGGGGTTTGTGACCAAAACAATGGCAATGACTTCATGCTAAGTAACGGCTCTGTCACATCTGACAGCAGCATATTTATTCAAGAATGGACTGTGAAAGAACCAGGCGAAATCTGTGAAATCAAGAGAGATGACAGATGTACCGAACATGCCACTGCCAAGTGCAACGTTCTGCGCTCACCTCAGTTTGCACAATGCCATGGAATGATCTCTCCAGACTCGTTCTATTCTGCATGTGAAAAAAACAGCTGCTATGAGGATGAAATCTGTGAGGTCATAGCTTCCTACGCTCACGTTTGCAGAACAAGTGGGATTTGCGTCGTTTGGAGATCACCGGAGTTTTGTGGTAATGGTTTCATTATACACTAAAATTGATGCAGAAACTAACACAGTGAATTACTCAGTACCACTACTCCCATTGTCTCCAATTTGTCTGCATAGTGTGAATATCTTAATCCTATGTCATAGGACAGAAGTGCCAGTTTAAATTTCCAGTGTAAGTAATGTTCCATGTTAGATAATTACTTTAACGTGCAGCCTAATTTAAATTTATTCCTCACTATCCATTCAACCGCTAGGTATGGAAAAAGGTGCATCAGTAAAATACATACACCTGTTAATTGTGCAGAGCAGAAGGTAGCAGACAGGGACAGCTGAAGATACGTAGGGCCTACGAAGACCATGCAGAAGGGGAATATTACTATATGAGAGTGTACAATTGTTCAGACCCCCCACCCCCCGACTTTCCATACCAAATATGAATCTGAGACCTTGTCTGTACTGGGAATCGGTCCTGATTCGAGTAATTGATGGCAGCTGCAGATGTAGCTGCATCAGTACAGAACCTACGTGACGATAAAGAAAGTTACAATTTGCACCAATGGTACTTACCCCTGCTTCTCATTAGGACACACTCCATTGGTGCAAATCATGGCTTTCCTTGCCTATCCTTGGATTCTGCACTGCTGACCATCAATTGCTGGTACCAGGGCAAATTCCCTGTGTAGACCAAGCATATGGCTTTCAGTGTGTGAGAAAACAGGCTATTGGTTGGTAGCCTGCGGCAGAGAAGTTCAGAAACACCCACTATATGCGTCACATTCCCCTCCCAGAGCAGTGCCAGTTACGCTGCAAATTACTGACCAAGTCAGTAATAAATTGCTCTGCATGCTCTGTGATCCCCATTGTGCATGTGTTGGAGGGGAAGAGGTCACAGATGGGCAGCCATTGATTGTGGGGCGGGGGAGAATATGGCAAGGGTGTTAGCAGTGCAGATGACCAGAGATATGTAGAGAGATGAAAGATGTGTGTCTGGCCTGGGATCAATAGGTTTTTTATATCTTTACTCATCCACCAATTCTCATCCGCTTGCATGAATTTCTACCTATGATCGCTATTCATACTGATAGACCTACCACAGAGGAAGACATCACATGCACTACACAGTTGCATTGCACATGTGCTCAGCGATATGCTGATGGGCACTATGTGTGAACCTCAACAAATAAAGATAAGTGACTATTGGGGCTGCTGATGCCATGTATTGTCCCCATGGATATTCTTGCCTTCTGTGCAAGGCTTGCTGTACTAGGATGTGCAGATGAGGCACTGGCTGTCTCAATCTTTTTGGTTTACAGTCCTCTGTTTATGATGGATATGAACATGGGCCACCTTCCCTCCATATATTCCCTTATGCAATGCCCTGGCATGGTCACCATGTCCCAGTCATTCTTGTTATCTCTGTCTGCCTCCCTCTTTATTATCTTTTCCCGTTCTCTTCTCTCTCTCTTTTTTTCTCCCCCTTTTCTGTGCATTTTCTATATGGTTTCCCCCAGTTTTTATACTTTTGCCCTTTATCTTGATTTTTCCTTCCCATTCCATATTTACTCTCCATCCCACAGGTTGAGAACCAACCCCCTAAGGACTTGATGTAACAAAAGTGCTGTCCGTCCAATATAGTGCACGGCACTATAAGAGGCATCACTAGGATTGTTTTTCTTCATGTTTAAGGCCCAAATTGAGTGGAGCGTTGAAGAAAAAAAAGAGGAAGGTGAATTTGGCCTGATCCTTGAGTTAATGTCTTACATCTCTTTCAAAGCAAGTTTTGGAGAACATTATTGATACAGATAAATCTTTTAAGAAACAACACACTCCAAACATTCTATATGGCATATAATCCTAGAAAATGGAGAGAGAATATAACCTGTCATTGCTTAGATTTAGGACTTCAACCAGACTTTCCAAATTGCAACATCAAGGTAGAATGCCAAAGAGGCTTCTTAATAACCTCTCTGCATTCCTCAAATTCCCAGTTTATGATGCACTGCAGCAGGAGGACACCCAGTTTAACTACTAGTTACATAAAACAGTCATTGATGTCTCAACAATGGCATCTTCTTCTTCTTCTTCTTCCTTTTTTCTTTTCTTTTCTTTTTTTTTTTTTTTTGAAAGCAGGTGCATGTGTATAGCTGCCAAAAATAAAATTGTTGATTGCTGGGACATTGTGCAGAATACATTAACAACTCAATAGACAGCATAGCTTAATCATTATATAACATTACAAACCTATAAATAATGGCATTGCACTAGATACGATTTTTTTCAGTGAATCCAGGCTATTTATACAGGGCTAAATTAGACACCAGCCCATATTGGGGCAATGCACAATGGCAACACTTCAGCAGCCCAAGTCTTCCCTGAGCTCCCAGCTGGGCAGGGTGAATATGTCTGCTTGCAGCATCCCTTAAGGGGGTGTAGCATGCTCTCCATTCCATGCCAGCCCAGCACCAGTGGTCAATTCAGTAGGGGGGCAGAGCCATGCTCCAATTTCCTTCTCCCTCTCCCTGCCCTCTTCGGGATATGGGGGCACTGGTAGGAAACAGTTCTTGTGTTCATGGGAGTGCATGGACTAGAACTGTAGCTGACCCTGGTATGGGAATGCAAAGACTCCTTGTACACTGCCCACACTTAGCACAGCTGCTCTTAAGCAGCCCACCATCTAGCCCACAGTAAGCTGTACTAGCTGTATAACTTCAGGGCACAGAACATGTATACCTTTAACGTGCTTACACATTTTGTTAGGTACTTGCTGAAGAGTGCTGTAGAATTAGTATATGGTTTAATGCAAAGATCATGGAGACTTTCATCATCTTTGGGTGGCAGGGAAGCTTAGTTATCTGAAAATCTGATTGCTTATACATCTGTTGACCTAGCCCAGTGTTTCCTAAACTTGGGACGCCGCTTGAGTAGGGAAAGCCCCTGGTGGGCCGGGCCGGTTTGTTTACCTGCCACATCCGCAGATCCGGCCGGTCGCGGCTCCCACTGGCCGCGGTTCGCTGCTCCAGGCCAATGGGAGCTGCTGGAAGCGGTGCGGGCCGAGGAACGTACTGGCCGCCGCTTCCAGCAGTTCCCATTGGCCTGGAGCAGCGAACTGCGGCCAGTGGGAGCAGCGAACCTCGGCCAGTGGGAGCCACGATCGGCTGGACCTGCGGACGTGGCAGGTAAACAAACCGGCCAGGCCTACCAGGGGCTTTCCCTACACAAGCGGCGTCCCAAGTTTGGGAAACACTGACCTAGCCTATGAGCATTCAGGTTGAAAATGATCAATATTATAAGAAGTGTATCTTACACAGTAGCAGTGCTTTTACTTAGGAAAAGTTAGTCATCTGTGAATAGGATCTGTCTGTAAGCAAAGTTGTGTCTTATAAAAAACAATAAAAATCTTAGGCTGGCTAGTTATTTCCAGGGATGGGCTTGAACCAGTACTGCAGGTCTGAATGTCCATGAGCTCTGTGAATGTTTCAGTCCAGATTGCTTATTCTGGATCCATCTTCCATTGGATCCAGGTCTGGAAAAGGATTGTGACACTGTGGGCTTCAGAAGTGTAAACTGGTCCCCTTCCTCAGCTTCACCTCTAGTTCCCTCCACCTGCCCTGGAACCAACACCACCCTTGCTGCCTTTTGGGAAGGGACCCCAGGCTTCCATTTCCCCCTACATTGAACTCTTCAGGGTTATAAGCAGGCCCCCTCTGGGTGCTTCCAGATCTGTCCCACCCCCAGATTCCCACAGGGGGTTTCTAGAGTAAAAGTTGTTCTCATGACATTTTTACAGTTTTGGTTGAAATCCAAATCTATATTGTAATTGGGCTAAAAATCCAAACTTCTTGTTGTGTATTTGGCTGTCTTTAGGTCTGGACAGCTCTCTGTCACCCCATTTCTTGTTATCCCCCAAGCTGTATGTATATAAGTGATATCTGAAGGCACCTCGCATGGTGGGTATTAAATACTTGTTTCTAAGTGCAAACCCATCTACTCTTCTCCAGTTCTCAGAGATGGAGTGTAATCTGTAATACAGCAATGGAGAAATAAAGAACCACCAAACCCTAAAATAATGGTCCAGTTTGGCGGCCATTGAGGACTGAAAAGGGAAGGAATCAGCACAGCAAGGTTTCTGGCAGTGGTTTCAGTGGATATGTTTGCTGTGAGATATTTACTTTTGGAAACACTGCAAAGATAGTACCATTGTTGGATTGTCTTGCACATCTAGTAATAAATAACTTGCAAGTAGGGATATTTGAAAAAAAGTCAAATTAAATTTTTCTGTTGAAAAATGGGGTTTTGTCAGAATTGAAATTTTTCCAGAGGAAAAGTGGTTTTGGCAGAATTTTCTATCAGAAAAACTGAAATGAAATATTTTGCTTTGGGTCGGCATTAATCTTTGTGTCCTCCTGAATCACCACAATGCCTCTGGGAGTTGAAATTCTGGATTCCGCATGTCCCTATTTTCTTTTATGGACCCTACTCTCCATGATCACTCTCTGTGGCTGAGCCACCACGGCATGTCATTGGACTCCCACAGAAAGAGGCCACAGCGTATCATGAGAGACTTCCCCATAGGGGTGAATGGGGATATGAGGAGCTTAGAACTACAACTCCAATGAGGCATTGTGGTGGCTCGGAAGAATGCAGAGACTACTGTCATGTAGACCTGAAACAAAATGTTCTTCTTCGAGTGCTTGCTCATATCCATTCCAGTTAGGTGTGTGCGCGCCGCGTGCACGATCGTCGGAAGATTTTTACCCTAGCAACACCCGGTGGGTCGGCTGTGGAGCCCCCTAGAGTGGCGCCGTTATGGCGCTGGATATATACCCCAGCCGACCCAGCGCCCCCTCAGTTCCTTCTTACCGCCCCTGACGGTCGTTGGAACTGTGGAGCGCGGCTTAGCTGATCTCCACACTCCCTAGCTTCTCTTTGCTCTTGTTGTATTTAGTTATATAGATAGTTGTTCAAGTTAGTTAGTAGTTAGTTATAGTGTATATATATATAGTTATAAGTTGTTATCGGGGG